AAAAAAAAAAAAAACCGCGTACAACACTCGGGTCGGCGTCCTCTGAAATAGATCTGTACCAATTTTCATGAAAAAATATTCAACATTAACCTATCTTCGGCGTGTGTCATTTCGAACGCCCCCCCCCCCCTCTTTATATCTCAGGTATCAGACGTGCGATATTTTCCAAATTTGGATAGGAATATGAATAACCATCAACATGATCAGTTTTTCAGAAACGAATATCTAGTTGGACGATGCCATGCTTTTTTATCAGAATAATAAGGGGTTTGTATGAAATCATATCGGGATTTTTTTGCAAGTGAACTAACTTCATATTCAAAAGACAGAAGGAAAGCTCAGGGTCATCACCACCACTTTAATTCTGAGATAAATCATTCAAGAAGACATGTTCCAGACTCACAAAATTCAATCTCCAGCCGTATTCAGAAGGCACTATAAACAAACACATGTGAAGATAAACATGTTATAAAAACGGAAAGTTGACTTACATGGAACTTTTATATTGTTCCTCGTACTTTCGATGCACAAAAATACATCATTCCAGATTAACAAAATTGGCCTCATCTCTTTTATTTTCAGCACCGGGAAAATACTGAATAATCCAAATCCATTGCTGATTTTGGACCGTTCAATAGCTCCGATAGATAGAAAATCGTGTTTGGAAGAAAAAACAAGAAATACTATTTTCTATCCATATTCAATAGGAAAAGCACAATGTCATCTCCACGACTATTATGATATATGGAAACATAAAATCAGGAATATGTTTCAGACATAATGCGATGTCCATCTTCAGCCTATGCTAGGAAGTCATGGAAATAAAAAGGTTTTGTTACATTTCAAAAAGTACACAAAAGACTACGATGGAATTATTGATGATTCAGCAACAAAGAAATCGTAAAAAACTGCAATCCTTGTTTATTCAATTTCTTAATTCTGAAACATCCATTTCAGAACAATATTGCGAACAAAAAACTCGATAAAAGCTTATACAGGGTGATTCAAAGTCGATGTGAATATTTTAAAGACAGAGCATAATTATTGTTGGGATCAAAATCAGCCTTTTTTTTATAAACAAGTGTCTTAGAATGGACACCCTTCTTCACAGAACACTTGATAGGTAATGTCAGTATACAACTTTTATAGAATTAGATGTTCACGGCAGAGAATTCCTAAATAGATGTTTTGTGATTAGGTACGGCCAGTAAAAATGAATTGCGAAAATTGTATTATGTTCATGTTTGCAATAGATATCAGAGATCGAGGGTCGAAATTATATGCATATGCATATGTATTCAATTCCGTCAACAAAAGTTCGATAACGTCCAGAGTCGGACGTACTTAGTACATCGGAATCTTACGTACCCAGTTCGTCTAGAAATGGACGTTTTCAGTACGTCTTGAAAAGGTCCTGGACGTTCAGACCTGAAATGGACGTCCCCAGGACGTCGACTGCTATATGAGAAACTGTTTTTTTTTTCACTCACCCCCACCATGTTTTCAATTTTCCCAACATTCTGAAATCTTTAGGAGGTTGAAAAGAATATCGATATCTCGTGATAGATCAGCGTTATGCGATTATGCGATAATGCAGGTACCTACGCATTTATCGTTTATGTATTAACTGAGAATAGTCATGCAAAATCTTGTAGGCATTTTCCGTAGCTATTTTATATTGACTGAATGACAATTCCGCGTAGAGATTTGGCATCACTGCTTTTCATCTTTGCCGGAATAGCGGAAAAGCTAACAATGGCTGTTACTCTAATGACCTCACGCATGCGAGCAAACATCGAAAACCATTTACTGCAAATTGTAAGGCAATCGAGAGAGTACCAGGAATCGAACTGTTCAGATTCGAGCCTAAGAAGAGACGTCCTATTATAAACAATTCCAGCCGATGTGATAACTGGATTTCGAAACAGTGGCGGTACCAGGGGGCCGATTCTCGAATGACGAATGATAATCTCGCACTTTCATGTGCTAGTCGGAAATCGTATCCTCAAGTACTTGTAGAGATATATCTACCGAAGACAATCGACAATATTTGTGAATAGAATGATTTGACAACATAGTGAACACATGCACAGCACGCTGATATTTTCGATGTTCACCTACAATTTCGTGTACCATAACGATTAGACTGATTAGAGTGATGTGATTAGTTGTTACTTGTTAGTTGACTCAGGGATTGAAGTTGAATGAAAATGAAGAAATAAAGAACAAAACATGTTTTTATTAATCAAAAAGATTTCACGAATTGAACGTCAGTCGTCAGTCATTCTATTCATGTACTTGTACTTGTTTCACAGTCTCCAATACATCTTCCATGTTCCCTGAGTTCTCAATAGCTGCCAATATTGCTATCTTCTCGTTCATGACGTGAAAATTATTATTTTTATCCAATAGTATTGATGTATCATTTATGCACAGGTACTAGGTAATAAAACTCCACTCCACCCTCCACATTCGATATATTATCACCTCAATGTGTCGATGATTTTTTATAAAAGTAGCCCAGTGACATTCATTTCGACTAGGTAGAACCCATTCGTTGTTTTGTCTACTGAGAATTTTTTAATGCTACATTTCAGCATACATATATGTATGAATATCAGTATAGATACATGTCAAATTTGGCATATGATTACTCGTCATCGGGGTTTCAGAATGGGGTCCCAGTCAATTCCTTGTTCGAAATATCAATGTTTCTACGAATATTCCATGTCAAAATACACGTTTTTGATTAGTTGAAATATATATGCTGATAATCAAAAACATGATGTTTTCGTTTTTGTGTTCCGGCTGTAGACTGCTAGATACCTCAATATGCTGTTTTCGGTTTTGTATTTCGCTTGCTCATTGGTAGTTTCATCAAATGGAGGCGAATTTAGTAGGTGCACGAACACAATTCATTTCCCAACTGTAATCTCAATGTATAGTTCATGAAAGTTGAACACTGTATTTCATATGAGATGATTCATTCAACTCATTAGTCCTAGTGCCCAGTGCACAGCATCTCATAATGCATTGCTCTGAAGTTCCCTATTTTTAACTTTTATGCATTATGCATTGAAGTTACACATTATTCTTGTTCATTTGCTAAATCCGTCCTAATAAAACAAAATTACTTACATGTGCAAGCTGTCGTAGAGATGAATATTGGATGTCATAATATACAGTTCATATGTACGTGGGTCCGAAAATGCATAGTATTCAACATACAGTGTGTTGGAACTTTTGAAAAAGATCGGTTTTTTATGAATATCTCGAATGTCCTTCCACTGATTTGCTTGAAATTTGGCAATGATATTTTTTGTCATGAGGGGCTGATATAGCCATAATTCGATTGGAATTATGATATCCAGTGGCGTCCCGGAAGCAACCTACCGAATATTATTGTCAATAAGATGTGCGCCACTGATTTTTTTAAAGTTTGTATCTTCATAACCTATTGACCAACTGAAAATACAACATTTAGGTCTCCTGGATTGTTTTGATGATTTGCTTCATTTTCATGAAAAAAATAAATAAATACCAATTTATTGCATTAATGTTTGCCAAAAAATTCCATCAAAAACTGGGGTGGAGATTAATGCGTGATCAATGTCCGTAGACATAGAATGAGTATGAAGATTCATTTTCTGCAAATATTTGTTGATACGTGTTGGACATGCTCTACACTATATTGAGAACTACGTATTTTCGGTCCAGGAAGGTGTAGTTTTCGATAATTCAAAGTGTGTCGAACATATTGTATTATAAAATATTTGAAGAGAATGAATCTTCAATCTCCCATTCTACGTCTATGGACATGGATCACACACTTAATTTAACTAACCTCTGTTGAAAAATAAATACCAATGCATTGGTATTTATTTTTATCCACGGAAACGCAGCAAAATCGCAGAACATTTCGATGGACCAAAATGTTGTATTTTCAGTTAATCATCAGGATATGAAGATATAGAACTAGAAAAAATCATTGGCACACATTTAATTGACAATAATATTCGGTAGGGTGCCCCCGGGACGCCACTGGATTTCACAATTCCAAATTAATTATGGTCGAATCAGTCCCTCATAACAAAGAATATCATTGACAAATTTCAAGAGAATCGGTGGAAGGATATTTGAGGTATCAATAAAAAAACGATTTTTTCCAAAAAAATTCAACACACTGTATCTTGAAAACTATGCATTTCCGGACACACGAATATATGAAACAAATTTCATATTTTCTCATGCACAATCAACCCCTTGATTTTTTGCGCATAATTTCCGGACACCCTGTATTTATATTCAGGGATGAATAGAACTCAACACTGAACTTCAGAAAGAATCGTCATAGGCACTAAATTCCTGAAGAAACTACACTGAGAAAAAAGTAATGAACATTCTTAACCATAAGAAGTGCATTAGTAAACGCTCTCTACTGGCCACAGTGACAAGGTGTCTGTATTCGGGTTTCTCATCCCAAAAAACACCAGACTGCCAATTTTCGAAGTTATTCATAGAAGAATGTTTCAGATTTGAAAATATTCGAATATTATTTTTCAACTTCACCACACTGTACTTCGGAAATGAAGCAATTTTGAACTGAAGTGAGTTGCTCCGAAATGGCCCATTTTCACCTCAGGTATGTGTTAGGATTCTGTAGGGGACCTTTCAGGGACACCATGAATATGAACCAAAAATTCGAATGTAGACATGTGGCAGGTATATGTCAAAAATGATTCTCAGATATAAGGGAGTAAACAAAATTCACTCGAATATCAATTCGTTACTTTGATATCGAGATTTTTCGTTGGAGGTGTCATCATAGGTAGTTCTCGCCTACAATTTCCACACAAAATTCAGGTGAAAACAATGAACCAAGAATATAAGAATCATGAGACCTTGAATTTGAGCTGACATCGACTTGTTGCGTTTTTCAGCATCTCAGTGTACGAACCTACACAAATGTGACATCATTTGTTTTCAAATTGAGGACGTACCTGATGCGGCAACGCCGCCAAATCCTTCTCGGCCCCATCGGGCCTCTTCGGATCGGCTCGGTAGTGCCCGGCAGCGGCGCGCCGGTCTTGGATCGAGTTGCCATCGAAGGACAACTTCACCGAGGAATCGTCACCAGTGGCGTCGTGGATGATGTCTTCGTAAAGTACGTCTTCGTCGTTGGGGGGCCGGAGGTCCGATGCTGGGATATCTCTGTCAAAACGGAAATCAGATGTTGATTATTGTTTCTGTTGAAAAACGTCTGAAAACGTTTTGGAGAAACGTTTTATAAATGCATAATTTCAACATATCGTCAGGACATATCGTTTTCAATACGTTCATGAAACGTTCAAACTTAACTTCATTCCAAAATTTCAACAAACGTTTGGTACAAACCTTAGTTTTTCTTGAACAGTTCAACTATAATATAGAATATAGTTCAACGACAACTTATATTACACGTTGACGAATAACAAATTAGAAACGTTGTTAAAAAACGTTTCATTCGCGTTCTCCTTCTACCCTAGGTCAGAAAACGGTGGCAGATTCGCGTTGAATGAACTTTTATTTCGAACGTGTAACAACGTTACGGAAAAACGTTTTTTAAATGCATAATTTCATTGAATCGTCAGGACATATAGTTTTCAATACGTTTATCAAATGATAGATAGATAGATAGATAGGTTTATTGTATTGACGTTTATTGAATGATCATTTTCAACTTTGAATACTCCAACCATATTTCAACGTTGAAATAACTTGTTCTATGTCGATAATACGTTGAAAAATTCCGAACCACTTCTAGGGCGCTAATGAGGTGCTGTCAGGATTATAATCAAGAATCATTCATTCTCATGGAATATGGTCAGTCACAATTGATTCGAATCAACAACACCCCTGCTTCGTAATCGGCTTCATAGTCAGAGGATTTTCATCATTGTTCATGCTCTCCTTTTGGATGTTCAACAAATATAATTGAATGTTCGACGTGAAAAATAACCAGGAAATTAGTTGTTGAATATTCAAAATAATATTATTTACATATACATATTTTTATCTGAACGAGAATGCAAATTCGCAACTTGAACTAGAGAAAGCGAACTCTCATTGTATTTCTTCATATATATCTTCATTTTTTCATTTTCATAATCTAATCAGAGAATATTCCTTTTCAATACTTTAACTCAATCAAGCACTTCGAACTTCAACGATGAAAACTTGTTATTTTTATAGAGCTTTTATAGGGGTAGAAATATAATGAATCAGTTAATAAAAATAATAATGCATGACACAAATATGAAGAATAACTGCTTTGTTCTTGAATATAGTATTTTTCTTACAGGTGCTCAAGACTAGGAATATAATTAGGATTGATGAATTGAAGAAACTATGTATATTTTTTGTTCAAGTGTACGTTAATATTGATACAGAACTATCAATTATTATTTTTTCGTACGTGTCACACTCCCACGATGAATGATAGTCAGTTGGCAGTCTCAGGAATTATCTTCTAATTTTTGGGTCAGTACCTATCACACACTATAACACAAAACTGATTTACCAATTGCCTTTTAAAACATGCACAAACTAGAGATGAAAACAAAACGAAGGATGATAAATGCGTAGATAAACAATTTATATTTGTTTCTGATGATCTGAATTTTATTGGAAGGTGAATGCAAAACAAAAAAATCGAAATCTAACTAAATGCGCTCAAGGACGATGACCTTGCAACTTCGTCAAATCGAAATGAAGTGACAGTTGAATCGCGTTGTTTGCTTTGATCGGTCTCGAAATGTTCAGAGTCAATTCGAATATCGCAGCTCAACTGAAACTTCCAATAATGGCTTATATATTTTTGCTGTTGATAATATAAGACAATTTCTGATGAATGTTATATTTGTTGTGGCAAATAGATAGCTGTTCATAGTAACTCTAGAATGAGAAACTTAAATTAGCCGAATGGACAGCACTGTATTAATATTGTCGTAACCCAGACAGCACTGGATTTCCTAGAATATTCTCTGAATATGCTAAAAAGGAGGAGTATATTCCAAATATTCATCAATTATTCCTAGAATATATACATGCCTCTGGATCTAAAAGGAATATTCCAAAGTGAATAGTCGGATATGTTTAGGGAATATTCAGGTATGAATTTTCCAGGAATATTCCCAACTGAATATTCTCTGTTTTATATTCATAAAATATTCCCAACTGAATGTTCTGTGGGGTATATTCATGAAATATTGCCAACTGAATATTCTGTGCGGTATATTCATGAAATATTCTCAACTGAATATTCTGTGGTGTATATTCATGAAATATTTCATGAACATTCCTATGTTTCCCAACAGATAAATACCAATCATTATTTCAGAGATGTGAATATCAAACATCAATTAGATCTAAGGGGATTTTGAAACAAAATGTGTTTATGATCCGATTTCGAACAACGCTCTCACATGAAATTGATATGTACAACATTATTCAATTCGATTACTGGCCTAGTGGGTCAAGGCGTTACTCTGATAGTCTTGAGTTCACGAGTTCGATCCCTACTTGGGTCACTTTTTTTATTTTGAAATATGTTTATTGGAATATTCCAGGAACATTCAACATATTCTTTTGGATATATTCAATAAATATCTGAGGAATTTCTACTCGCATATTCAGAGAATATTCCATAGATATTCCGGAATATTCCAGATTATTCCTAGAATATTCCAATATTCCAAAAGGAATATGATAGGGAGGTTCATGGAATATCTGGTGCTGTCTGGGAAATAGTATTATTATGAGGTGAAAATAGTAACGTCATTGAAGGAAATACAGATATTCGTTGTTGTTGATAAAAATCTCAATATTTTCAATTATCGGTATCAAAGAAATTCCAACTAAGCAATACTTATGGTTAGGTAACCATATTTTCCCAGTGTACTAGTTTGTTATAATTTCAACCTACGGCCACTATAGAAAGAAGGCAAGAACACACGAGATACAGCCTCAGTAAGTATTGATATTCACGCACAGTGAGCACAGTTTTCGTTCATCCCGCCAGTGTATAGGTATGTCATAATCGCGTAATCGCCGTCAACAGTGGATGACATAACTTTCAAGAATTATAATTCAGAATGTTTGTCCAAACTTTCTTGATGTATCATATGGTAGTAGATAAAGTATAGTACGTAATGCGTGGTGTAAAGCAATTACGCACTAATGGAATTAACTCTTCCATTCATGCGTATTATGCTTCATGCAACACATATTACGTAAGATACTATTATTCCCGAATTCTGTTCACAATGCATTTTTTTTTCGTTATAACATGCTTCATCGAATATATTGACCTATGTTCTGAATCGAAATAAACGTTGATGATTCGATTTTGAATCGAACATCTTGACACTTGTTACACTTCGTTCATGACGTTACGAAAATACTGCAGAAAACAGAGCTATGCATTATTGTTTACCTACTTTTCACTCTCTTTTTCATTGGTTCATAATTGAATTCATCTGTGATGTTTACTGCTGGCTATCGATTGGTATTTCTCTGTTCGTTGTTATTGATTCTAACTCAATTTTTGCTGTAAATAAGGAATTATATTGTGATTTTTAGCCTACTAGTTATCGTTATTGCATACCTCTTGGTCAGAATGTTTTGTTTACAAATTTTGGTAGGTAGGTAGTTGGTTCCTGGAATTGTCACACATGACTGATTCAGTCCACAGGTATTTCGCCAAATTTCATCTTGAATTTCGAGTATCATTCTTGTAATTATTGTTGCCGTTATATTTCCAAATAAATATCATTGTTATGTAATTATTGTAATTATTGAAAATGTCACTGTCAGCTTGATGACGTTTAGTCTCTATTGACGGTAATGACACTAATGACGGATGACCACTATTTGCGAACCTCTGCATGCATCTTCTCGAATTTTCAACATTGTCATCATGGAACATTGACCCATAGTTTCCTTGCTATCATCACGAATACGGGCTCTAACGGCTCACAATCAGCACCATATCTCGTTATGATGATTTGGCACTCTGTATCTTCGCCATTATGTACCTGTTTGTTGATTTGGCACTAATTCCTTGTAAGTATGGGCGTTATGGGTTATGTTACATGGTGATAAAGGGTCATCGCACGGGAAGAAGATGATGACGTATTTCGCCCCACTATTCAGGTCTACAATGATCCTCAGTTGCGCATGACCGCGTTTGAATATTTGAAGTTTCAAATCCAAACAATAATAACTGGCAATAATATATTCTGACTTGAAATAAATGGTGATTCAATGATATTCCTTCTTTTCTGATGGTCTCGACACCTCTCTTGATATTATCGACATAGTTTTCACTACCATGGTGAGGTAGAAATGCCATGTACAGGGTGTTCGCGGGGATATCTCCCGCCTATAATTTTATATCGTCCGGTGATTGATGTGTGTGGGAGTATAGGGGAAGATACACAAAAAAGGGTGATCTTCCGGTGAGATGTGGCAAGGACAGCCCCTTCGATCTTCATAGGCACCATTCTGTCTGCAGCAGTCTACCAGCCTGGTCACAAAAAGTAAGCCGTGAGATCTGTTTCTTGAATAATTTCGAATTTGTCTAACATTCGATTTTCCATTACTTAGTGTTGGGATTAATTAGGAAAAGATCTCAAATTTGGGATATCCATTATCATCGCTGGGATGATGGGATTCCTGTTGCCTCTATAGAGGGATTCTTCGTGGCTGAAATCCACGTGGCCGAGCCGACCTACATCACCACTTCTGGAACCCACACAACATCCAAGGTACTATATATTCTTTTAATCATCAGCTGCTATTTTCTTGTCATTCCTTGTGTTGGTAAAATAACGCACGATTGTCGTCATTCCATCTAGGGTTCCTTTTATCGGGCTAAAGCCTCCTCACCTACCGATCGTCGCGTTCGAGATTTGGGCCCCATCAGCCCAGACCTGGGACTGTCTTGTAGCCGTCTGCAGTCAACGCTACGCTGCTTTAATTCACGTTTTTGGGGCCTGCTTATTTGTGGCTGAAAGGCGACACACAGGAGACACCACCTGACAACGCTGCCTGACTTCACCTGATCCCCCTGTACATCAGGACCTGCTCATAATTTGGTGAGTTCGTTCCATGCACCACCAGGGATAGTATTTTACTTGGGATAAACTACCACCAACCATAATTCATCAGTT